TTTCTTGGCTAAGTACAACCCCAAGCCCTTTATCGCTTGCGTCACATTGCACCAAGAAGGGCCTTGTGTAGTCTGGGCTGGCCAGCACGGGTCGAGTGACTAACGCACCTTTTAAAGCCTCAAACGGATTCCGCTTCTGCTCATCCCATTTGATCATGTTCGGCTCTATTTTCTTAAGGGCGTCCGTCAGCGGGCTCGCATTTTCAGAGTACTGGGGAATGTACTGGTGGTAATAATTCACTAACCCAAGGAAAGACATTAGTTTTTTTTCTGTTTGCGGCAAAGGAAACTCCTCAATAGCCTGTACTTTAAGCTCCTGAGGGCGTCTTTGCCCTTTGCCAACAACGTGCCCCAAGTGTAGCACTTCGCTGTGCCCGAACTTGCATTTCTTGGCTTTGACTGTTAGGCCTGCGTCTTGCAGGCGAGAAAAGACCTGTTGCAAATGCTGAAGGTGATCCTCCCACGTATCAAAAAATCGCCACGTCGTCGAGGTACGGCAGAGCGAAGGACTCTGTTCCCGCGAGAACCTGGTTCATCAACCTCGAAAATGCATAGGGAGCATTTTTCAACCCAAAGCTCAAAACGAGCGGCCTGAAAACACCGAATGGTGTCATGAACGCTGCAAGGCCGCTGGCACGTTCGGTAAGCGGTACTTGCCAGTAACCTCTCACAAGGTCAATGGTTGAAATGAACTTCGCCTTGCTCACTTTTTCAATGCACGCTTCTATGTGGGGAATCGGGTAAACCTTTGTTACGGTCACTGCATTTAGCTTCCTGTAGTCCACGCAAGGCCGTGGATCTTTTGCCAGGGCTCTCGACCAAAATCATAGGACAGACGAAATCGCTCTCGCACCGCTCTATTCACTTTAGTTCTAGCATTTGGGGCCCTAAACTCGTGAAACACAAAGTTTGAGCCGAAAGTTCTCGGAGCGCACCGATTGGACGTCGGCGAAAAAAGCGCCAAGTCATCATCGTGATAGGCCAATCGGTGCGCTCCGTCAACTTCGCCTCCAACTTTGTGTTTGACGAGTTTAGAGGTCTTGGTCTACCGATTTCTATAACAGCTTTTCCTGACGTGGGAAAAAACGATAGGCTTTGCACTGAATCGTAGACTGACTTGAGAGTTCGATGTCATACTCGACCAAGTTCGTCCTTCCGGGGACGGTGGAAAACAGATTTTGGTACTTGTCAAGCAAGGTAGTAAGTTCCAAAAGCTGGCCCTGACTCATCCGTTTCTTATCGATTGTAGCCTCTACAATCTCAGCGACAGTCAAACTCCCACTAGTTTTCCCCAGCTCAGGAATATGAGCTTTCCATTCCTCCGGCTGGTTCACTGCGATGCTGACAAATTGCACTCGTTCTATGTACGGCTTCATCAGGTTACAGTGGAATATGCGAACCTCTTTCCTGCGACCTGACAGCTTAACGACATAGTTTGTCTCGGAAAGTTTCTGCTGAACTGTTGCTGGCCCCTCCCATTGGACTTCTAGCTTATTTGCTTTGGCCGACCGCAAAAGCAGCACCTTGTCACCTTCCTTCAATGTGCGAAGGCGGCTGTTCTTGTCGTAATACAATTTACCACGCGCTTGAGCTCTCTCCATGTTTGCCTCAACCAGCTCTCGCGTCCTGTGTAGTTGATTCAGCAATGAAAGCATGTACTCCGCCACCGTTGGATTCTCGGCTTCGCCTTCCCAGCCTTCTCGCAGCAATCACAATGGCGAACGCAAATTTCGCCCGTAGACTAACTCAGCTGGCGTAAAACCACACTCTAAGAAAAAGTGAGCACCCCCCCTAGTCATCGTGCGTTTTGACGGATGTAACTACCCCACAGGCTTACCTAACTATCCACTGGGCTCGAGCCATTGAGAGTTAGCACCCTGTTGGAAGGTGACAAGCATGGGGTAGTCACGTTTTATAAACTCTTGAATTGAACATTCAAGTGCATGCAGTCGTTTAATAGTAAAAGTCACTTCAAAAATCTCAAAAAGTACTTAAAACTTGTTTTCTTTGTGCGTTGGTTATTTTTATTCAAATTTAAACCACTCGAAACAAGCGTGTGGCTCATTTCGCCTAAACTGGCAGAAAACAAACAAGTACAGGCAACATTGGTACGCACCTACTAAAACCCGAGGCAGATAAAAAGTATCGCGGTTGTCCTTTTTGGTTCCGTCGCGGGTTTTGGCGTCGTGCTCGAGGAATTTTACCAAATCTCTAGAAAAGCACAGAAAGCTACGCACAGGCGTGAGTTGACTTGAATGTTCGTTGGACGAGATACTCGTGTCGTCTCTTATTGTGCGGTTCAGTAAAGAGCGTGCTCTCAATAAAGGTGTGATCGGTCAGTTCTGCGTGCAGTTCAGTTGCAAATGGCCTCCTCGGTTCCGCCCAACTTGCGCTCCTGTCGTACCCAATTTTTTTGCTTGCAAGTGCAGTGAAGTATGAAGCATTGCACACCACGACTCAGGCTGGACGGGACGAACCTACACAGATATCTGCGATCATGTTCGTGTATTTCACTATTTCTCTGTCTCGGGTTACATGATTCGCCTTCACTGGCTCATTTGGCACATTTCATCGAGCATACTCGATAAAAAAAAAATTGCTCAAACAAGCGTGTGTCATCCAAGGCGGAGTACTTCGAAAGGGACTAGGATTTCAGGCCTTCCAGCACGCGTTCCTTTTATCTATATAAAAGATTCCAAGTAAATTTCCAAAAATAAGGCATTGGCAAACATATACGTGCTATTTGTTTTAGATTTTTTTTTTTTTTTTTTTTTTTTTAGGAAAAGTACTGCTGGAGACGACAGCAGGTGCAGCGCAGAGAACTATGTTCTCGGCGTTCTTTGATGCTGAACAGCTCATTCACACTGGAAGCGGATCCGCATTCGCAAAGCGGTTGTGAGCGCGGTTGTATAAAGATCCAGTCCAATTGCACGCGCACTTGATGTCATGGAGTGCGCGTGCAATCGTACTGGATATTTATACAACCGCGTTCGCAACCGCTTTGCAAACGCGGATCCGCTTCCAGTGTGAATGAGCGGTAAGGCCGGTTCAGACACTTGCGTTTGAATGAGTTTGACAGCTTTGCGTCGAGAACCGAAAGCGACTCACCGGCACGACTGTGCTTCGTATGAAGCGTGGAATCCAATTCAAGGAATCATCTTCGCACGCGATGTAAGCAGCAGGGATGCCCTGGTTTCTCGCTGCCGCAACGCAGTCAGACGCAGTCAAACGCCACTGTCTGAACCAGGCTTTACATAATTTAGTACACGTATTTCGCGTTCGTTGCAGGTGAAGGCACGGGCCCGAAAGCGGCAATTCTGCACTGTCCTCTTGGCGCGAGCGCGAGCGCATAGAACGCATATTTGAAAGACACGCGCTTAAGCAAAAACAATTGTAGCGAAAAGAAGAAAACTGAAACAACGCTTCGGGGAGGACTGACGGACGGGCTTTGCTAGAATCACCTGCGCGCGCTCAGTGTACTCAACATTTACTCAACCGCCGCTGAAGTCATTCGGATATGTAGAAAGAGAAAAGAAAATGCATCAGCGTGTTCAGAAAGTTGTGATTGCAGAAATTGTTTTCGATAATTAATACAATTAATTAAACCGGCTTCTGTATACTAAAAGTGTAGGCTAGCGAGAAAACGAAACTGATCAAAACGTGACGTGTAGCAACTATTCAAATTTATTCATAACCTGCAGTTGACTTTTGCAATGGATTACATTAGAGATACGAGCGCTTTCCTAAGGGCAGTAGAGGAAAATAATATATACGCGTAAACCTTGCACAGTCTTTTCGTATTTATGCAAAATATGACAGTGGTCACCATCCTAATCGGTCACAGAAAATACAGCAGTATATAAGTTGGCGGTGTCGACTAGACGTGTGTATAGGAATGTACAGTGTCAATATATCATATAGTACCTTGTGCTGTGTCTGAACGCGTTCCTGTGTAGAATGCTATGGTGTCTGTATGTCGGGTATGTGTGTAGTAGAATATGTACATACGTGAATGTCTGGCGAGGCGTTGAACACAAAGATCGTTGGTTTCGTTTTTTTCTAGTTTGAGCTCTGTCCGTTAGGTGGCGCGTGGCGCCGCCCAATTCAAGGAGTCGCGCGTTTATGTGTCTACTTATTTGAGTGAAAAACATGGAGGCGTTCCATGGCTCTACGGAGCTGACGGAGCAGCCCCAAAGGGTTCGGTTCTCAGCCTCTCGTCCCAGTGGGATCAGTCTCATAGCCAGTTGAATGGGTGTTCCGTGCGGTGGATAGCGCGAAGTGCGTGCACAAACGCGGTGAGGATTACCAGGGACTTGGAAGTGGATAACGAATGCTAACAGGTGAGCAGGAGCATTGAACGATCGGAATCGACGCCGCTTAAATCGGTGATGCTTCGCCTCGCCGCTGTCAACCGAAACCGCCGGATCACTTGCGGCAAGCACAGCAAGGAGACGCTCTGTTCAATAAAGATATCATTCCATTTGTCGCTATACGATTCCTTTCTTGAATGTTTTCTGGTCGCGAAGTAAATTCAGCCGGCCGCGCGAAAGCAGTCGCGGACAACACCCTCGAATGCCCCCCCCCCCCCCCCCCCCCCCCTTCCTTTCACATCGTCGCCTCTACTCGTAATACGTGCGGTGTCCGTGGTTCGAGGCGCGTTTTGGAGTGCTTCAGTGCGCACGGAAGGCCGCGAACGGGCGCACGCACTTGAGAATCGTATTTTAGCAAAAGCAGTCCAGCTCGCTAGGCCTTACTCGTACTGCTCCACCGTCGCTTGCCAGCCGCCATGTTGCTTTTGGGGGTGCTCACTTTGACAACCTGTTGATTGCGTGCCGTGTGATTACCCGTGGGGTTGTCAGTATAACGAAGGTGGGGTAGCGATATCTGTGACGGCTTCTGACTACCCCAAAGCTAGTACCCCACGACAACCCTTTTGTTGAGAGTGCAGTCGACTCATGAGCGACGGTTCGCAGCGCGAAAAGCATCGCAGGCAAAGCCAACTACCAGTCCTTTCCCTGATCGTGGCACAGGGCCCTGAGAACGAAAATAATCCCTGGAGAGGGATTATACCCCTCTTATTCCCCCTCTCCAAGGATTATTTTCGTCATCGTTGTCCAGCTCGCTTGCACCTTTGCATTTAATTGCATTATAATCAGGCCCTGAGAATACATTTCATTACCGAGTGTGCCCTCTCCACGATGTTACTTTGAGGGTGGCTTACTGAGCTGTGGAAAAGCTTTATACCACATTTCTCAAGAAAGCTGGTCGTTAAAGCGCTTGTAAAAACGCTACCGAGATCACACTGGATCTCACTCGGGAACCCGATATGGGAAAATACAGTCAGCAAGTTGTCCACTATTTCTACCGAGGTTTGTTCCTTCAGAGGAACGGCTTCTGGAAACTTGCTAGCTGGGCATAGCATAGTCAGAATATACTTAAAACCTGTCTTCGTTGCAGTTAATGGCCCTACGACATCTATCACGAGCCTTTTAAATGGCTCCGAGATTATCGGCACTAGGGTGAGAGGCGCCTTCCTTCGTTCGTTCGGCCTTCCCGTCCTTTGGCATGTGTCACAAGAGCGAACAAACTCTTCTACGTCCCTTAAGCACCCCGGCCAGTAACACTCGGCTAAAAGCCTACACTTTGTCTTCGTGATGCCCAGGTGCCCGGACCATCCTTCTTTATGAGCAAGCTCAAGAAGGTCACCCCTATACCTAGAAGGGACTACGAGTTGTTCTACTTCTTTGCCGGATTTGTCCTTGAAGTTACGGTACAGAATACCTCTGCGCTCGTAAAAAGACACGTTCGGTGACAGGTCTTTACCCACGCTCTCTCGGCACTTAGCTAGTGACGCATCTGTTTTCTGTTCTGCGATAAGAGTCATCTTATCAATACTCGTTAGAGCTCGAAAATGTTGGCTCTCTGGTGAAACCAGCGTAGTCATTCCCGATCCCGCAGTCGCTTCGTCGCGATATGCGTCGATGTCTGGGGAAATCAGCGTAGTTATTCCCGATTTCGCAGTCGCTTCCTCGGGAGAAGTAGGCCAAGTTCACACCTGCGAATCGGCGGGCGAATCTGCAAGGATTCGGCCGCCGGGCGTAGCGTCCACTGTGCATTGCCGCGGCCGATTCCGCTTCGGCGGCAGCGCATTGGCTGTAAGTGTGAACCAGGCCTAATACAATTTCCTTTTCGCGTGCTTCCTTCTTTTTTATCGAGCGAGTTACTACTAGGACAGGATTCATGTCGAGCGCGACACCAGACTCGCTCAACTGCTTTGTACGAACAGCTGGGCAACACGCCATCGGAAAGCGCTGCATCCATGTCTACTACCAGGAACGGTCCGCTTAGTTTGACTTTAGCTACGGGCAGGCTATAAGACCGACCTTCCAAAGCCTGGCGGATCCACACGCAATCACCCGTGAAATCCGATTGCTTTACTAGCGATGAATGTACCACGTCGTACGTGGCTCCAGTGTCTCGCAGACCTTTGCAATGTGTACCGTTTACTTTTATGTTGTACAAGTAAGGCTCAAGTAGTTCCTCAGGATTCCGCAGACTCAAGTTAACTGGACACACTTTAGGCACACAACAACCCGCAGCCACATGTCCAGCTTGGTTACATTTATAGCATCGAATTGGTTTTCGTTCTTCGAACGACTTCCTTTTGATTTTCTTGTCATCCGAAGCCATCTCTACCGTTTCTGGTGTCGGACTGTCCGTAGTAGGCTCGTACTTTCTTGAGCCTGAGTGGTCCCACTTCCGCGGCTGATTTCTGGCCAATGTAGGCTTATCGTCCGTTACCTCTCTGCGCCTGGAGCAATACTGATCAGCGTAATCGGCAGCTTTCTGGATATTTTCGACCTCGGGTAGGTCTTGGATCCATTCCTTCAAGGTCATAGGAATAGAAGAGAAAAACGGTTCCAGAGCTAATTGCTTCAGGATTTTTTCGCGGTCCTCAAATGCGTTGGCCCCACGAAGCCAGCTTTCAAGAGAGCCTTTAAGCCTGTAAGCGAACTCTGGGTAGCTTTCCTTACCGTCTTTTTTGGTTTGTCGGAACTTTATCCTGAAGGCTTCAGGCGACAACCTGAACTTTCTCAGCAGGCTCGATTTCACGACAGAGTAGTCCTCTGCTTCTTCGGGGTCCAACCCAGCCATAAAATCGGCTACTTCTGCTGGTAGTAAACTCAAAAGCCGTTGCGGCCAGCTCGACCTCTCAAAACACATCTTGGTGCATGTGCGTTCGAAGTTGATGAGGTAAAGACCCAAGTCCCCTCTGACACGAAGAGGCTGCAGCAAGCTTCGCTTCGAGTGGGGACGGCGGCAACGCACGCAACATGTCGTCTAACCACTTCCTTGTTGTCATGCAGCTTTTGCTGATTGCCGGCGGGCGTACTCTCGATTCAACTGCACCATCACCAGAGACATCGGGAACAGAAGCAAACAAAGCAGCGTGTCACTTTGGGCAACTGGACCACGTGGTCTTCGGCTTCGTTACGTCATTGACACAAGCGCCATCGACTATAAGAGCCACAGCCTGGCCTCAGGCCATCAGCCCCTTGGGAGGCAGGCCTGCAGTTAGCCGAACTCCTACCCGGCGTCCGCAAGAAGGCCAACACGCCCCCTCTGGTTCTCAAACCAGCTGCACAGGAACAGCTAGCAGCAAGGTACCCTCGGCATCTACACATATACACGGACGGTTCGGTGGACACGTTTCAGCAAAGCAGCACGGCAGCCTACCACATCCCGGACTTACAAAAAGACTGGAGCGCCCGCACTACTCACATCGTGTCGTCCACGACCGCCGAGCTGCTGGCGATCGCGGAAGCCCTGACTGCGACGAAGTCGCTGCCTCCACAACGAATCGCTGTCCTCACGGACTCACGTGGAGGAATTCAGCGCATACGCAAACCTGGTCCATGCCCCACTGCCAACGAGATGAGACGGGTAGTCCGCCAGCTTGAAGAACATGGACACTCCATCTCGCTCCGGTGGGTCCCATCCCATGTGGGCCTCCGCGGAAACGAGATCGTGGACCGCATAGCCTTACGTGCCAACGACCTCTCTCCTACACTAAGGGCGCCTCCTGATCCCAAGCGCTACCAGCAAACCATTCAGGCTTTCTTCTCGGATCTTTCCCCCTGGAGCAGCTCAAAGCGGCCACCTTGCCTGACCCAGGGGTTAAACCGGTCCGACGCGACGCTGCTCTTCCGACTTAGAACAGGGAGCGCATACACAGGGAGGCTGCTCCACCGGTTTGGACGCAGAGACACTCCGCTCTGTCAGCGGTGTGCGGTCACCGAGGACGAGGTTCACATAGTCTGGGGCTGCCCTCTTCACGAGGAAGCTCGGAAGACGTTTCTCTCCGCCCTATCCTCACAACACATCCGACCAATGACAGCATCAGACGTAGTTTTCCCTGAAGGTCCCAGGCATAGAAGACGGATCATACAGTCCCTCCTACTGGGTTTCCTACGAGAGACCGGTCTAGCAGAGCAACTATGACGCCCCTCCTGCTCTTCCGCTAAGTGCCACTAGCCCAGTTCGGACTCGCTAACTGGCTCACTGAGACATGAATGCTGCTGGTTTCTTTTGCCTTCCCCCCCCTCCCCCCTACTCACCTAAGCCCCATCTTTTCCCCTCCTTTCATCCCAGGGCGGAACAACGCTTGCACTCTTGGCAAAGCTAACCCTGCCTTTCCCCACATCACGACACCCCCCCCCCCCCCCCCCCCCCCAGGCCATCAGTGGGCACGGCGGCAACGCACGCAACATGTCGTCTAACCACTTCCTTGTTGTCATGCAGCTCTTGCTGATTGCCGGCGGGCGTACTCTCGATTCAACTGCACCATCACCAGAGACATTGGGAACAGAAGCAAACAAAGCAGCGTGTCACTTTGGGCAACTGGACCACGTGATCATCGGCTTCGTTACGTTATCGACACAAGCGCCATCGACTATAAGAGCCACAGCCTGCCCTCAGGCCATCAATGGGCACGGCGGCAAGGCACGCAACATGTCGTCTAACCACTTCTTTGTTGTCATGCAGGTTAGTAAGAAGCGTTTTTTCGAATTCAAGAGCAATTATGTTTGCCTTGTAGTGCTGCCGTGCCCCGGCTTTTTGTTATGTATTGTTGCCGACTGTGCTTACTCCGTACGCTATGTATACTGCTGTTAGCTGGGGACGTCGAACTTAACCCGGGCCCGATGACGGATGCTCAGGCAAAACAGTTCGCTGATATGCTGAAGCTTCTCCAGGATCTTTCGACGCGCTCAGTCAAGATAGAAGAGGGCCAGTGTAGCCTGATTCAGACGGTTAACGAAATCAAAGCTAACCAAGCACTAATCGAAAATAAAATTGAAGTAATTGGCCGAAGAATTGATTCTGTTGAGTCGGTAACAACTGATATCCGGAAAGAACTCACTGAGGTATACGAAGTAATCAAATCTGTGCAAGAAGACAACGCGTCTTTACAAAGTCGCTTGGATGACTTCGAAGATTGGTCGAGACGCAAAAACCTAATTTTTCACGGAGTAACAGGGATTCAAGGTCTGACACATGGGCACAAACAGGAAGTAAAATTATTGAAATACTATCTCGTTCAGTTGACCCCAGATAACCTTGGAGAGCATCGATCGTGCCCATAGATTGGGATATTTCTCGGACGACCGATGCAAACCGGTTATCGTGAAATTCGCGTCGTACAAACTAAAAGACAAGGTTTTATCGCTCCGTTCGACGCTGAAAAACGCTGGGACTACAGTGAACGAGGATTTCTGTCTGGCGACACGACAGGCAAGAAAGAAACTTCTTCAATTCGGAACCCATCTCAAAATCCAACCTTCAAACTCCGGTACAACGAACTTCTTATTGGCCAAACAAGCTACTTTTATGATCCGCTTACTAATAGTGTACAACAAGCAGACCTGCGCATTGGCGGCTTGTCTGCCTTACTATCGCTGGAAATAACCAAACTCAAAATGCCAGTCATGCAGCACCTACGTTGTAGCATGTTGCGAGGGGTGGTGGCCCTATTGAGACATCGTCCTCTGCGCAACTGTCCATTATTTTTACGATTATTAGGAGGGTTATTAATAAACGGGACGACCTTTGTTCAATAATTGACTCATCAAATGCTACTATTGTTATTTTGACAGAAACTTGGCTGACAAGTAAGATTTGTAACAGTGAAATTTTGCACTATCAAACGAAGTTTAATATCTATCGGCAAGTTAGAGTTGGTAAAAGTGGCGGCGGTGTTATGCTCGCTGTGGCTGATATTTCTTCATTTCTTGTAAACGTTGCCACGAATCTGGAGATCCTGTAGATTTGCATTTGTTTAAATCATCGTAAATATGTTTTGGGCGTTTGCTATCGTGCTCCTTCGAGAAGATCTACCTTTGTGTCTGACCTTCATGACGTCGTGATTGCTGTCACAGTCCGTTTCCCTGACGTCCCAGTCTTAGTGTTAGGAGACTTTAATTATCCAAACATTACGTGGTCAAACGACGGCCCCTGTTGAAATACGTTTTCCACAGAATCCAATGACTTTTTAAAGCTGTGCGCCGATTTTAATTTCACTCAAGTTGTTACGCAGCCTACTCGGGTTACTTGTTCTTCGGCCACGGTGCTGGACCTTGTGCTGACGACGTCACGCGAGCTTATATTGCCTCTCACGTACCTACCTGGTCTCAGTGATCATTCATTCTTCCACTTTGATTTTGTTGTTCCGGTGTGTCGCTCTCCAGTGCAAGTAAAACGGATATCTGACTATGCCCGAGCCAATTTTGGAGCTATTAATCATGAATTGGGTACTTTTTTAGCGATTATCCGCGTAATTTTTCTGAGCGTTCTGTTGACCATAATTGGATGTTGTTCAAAGAAAACGTGGCCTCCCTTACAAATAGATATGTACCTGTACGAACTGTACGTAATTACACTTCCTCCTTATGGTTCAACCAGACGCTCAGAAGGGTCTCAAATAGGAAAAAGGGATGTTTCGTGCTGCAAAGTTATCCGTGTTTCCCAACGCAGAGCATCGTTGGGCAGCATATTAGTCTCCTGCAGCAGTGTATAAGACGTCTATTGCCGAAGCCAAGCTCAATTTTTTCGAATGTACCCTACCCACTATGTTGCGCAACAACCCTCAACAATTTTGGAACGTCGTAAACCCTTCTGAGAGGCTTGACGTAGTGCTGAACAACGAGGATGATGAGACGATAGCGGCGAATGAGTGTGCAGCTGTGCTAAACGAATTATTCACAAAATCATTTTCGAATTTAACCACTAATTCCTATCCGGATGTTTAGGAATACAATATTTGTGCTATGAATTCTATTAATATAGAATGTGCCGGTATAGTGAAAGTTATCGCCAACCTTAAACTATCGTCATCGTGTGGAATTGATAATATTAACTCGAAGTTTCTCAAAAACACTACTATGTATTCCTCTATTATCTTAACAAAGCTATTTCGGCAATTACTCGAACTCGGAAGCCTTCCCGAGGACTGGAGGGTGGGGAAGGTGATTCCTATCCATAAAGGTGGTGACAAATCCAGCCCAAGTAATTATCGCCCGATTTCCTTAATAAGTGTCGCTTGCAAAATTTTAGAGCACATAATCTATTCGAATCCCGTTAATTTTCTTAATTCCCATACATTCTTTTCTCCTGCTCAACATGGCTTTAGAAAACTGTTCTCGTGCGAAACTGAGCTATTTACACTTCCGCATAATCTTCACTCTTGCCTCGATCGTTCAGCTCAGGTTGAATGCATTTTTTTAGATCTCTCTAAGGCATTTGACAAAGTTTCACATAGGCTTCTTTTGTATAAACTCAGCAAACTGAACATTGACTCTCATGTTTTGACTTGGATCAACGCCTTTTCAACTAACCGATCTCAATTTGTTCATGTTAATGGCATTAACCCACACCCCCCTCCTGTGACTTCTGGTGTCCCCCAGGGTTCACTACTCGGCCCTCTTTTGTTTTTAATATATATTAATGACCTTCCTTCGCATATCTCATCCTCAGTTGGTCTCGTCGCAGACGATTGTGTCATTTATTCTGAAGTAGCTAACGATTTTGACGTTCTTGCACTCCAGTCTGACCTTGACAGTATTTCTCGTTGGTGTGATAAATGGCAAATGAAACTCAATATTAACAAGTGCAAATCCATGAGAGTATCACGTCAAAATAACACCTGTCCCTCGTACCATATAAGAACT